TAGCTTATCATTATCAAACATTTTGCAGTGCATGGCAGTTGAAAGGGCAAACAGGTGAAATAGGTGAGTGCAGGTCTTATCTAGACGGTCCAGCTGTGCCCCAGTTACCCATCACTGCCTTTGGTAACAGGAATTTAGTTCACCGAGTTTAAAATTAGCCCGGGCATCTATCATTTCCCACTGGCTGAATAGGTTGGTGTCGGAGCCCTGGCATGGGCAATCTGTCTCCCCATGTCTGTGTGTCCCGCCTCAAAGCACCATCACTCAAACACACCGCTCTGTCACCGAGGACAGAGGCATCGCCTGCGGCACCCAGAATTATTGCTGTAGGACACATAAGCAAACACTCAGGGAATTAGTTTAATGCATGCTCTGCATCGGCAATGGGAAAAGGTACTATCACTCTGAACGCAACAAAATGGAACAGAAAGGACAACAACTGGGTATGTAGGTTAGTCATGAAAGAATTACTAAAAAAAAGAAAAGTTACAGAGTTTAAAATGCAAATAATTTGTAGAAGAACACCTACAACAAAGAACTCCTTAAAACTGTCTTTTCACTGAGGCAAAAGCTACAAGACACCATTACAAATGTCCCAGTTTAGGAGTGTCTGAACGCCGGACGAGAGCTGCAGCACATCAGCTGGAGAGCATGGAGCCGCAGCACTCACACAGGGCAGTGCATCACTCAGCTGCCCTTGACTTTGTGGGTTAATATACTGTGACATTACATATGTACCTCATTTTGCAGTACCAAAATATAATGAAATAACACGCCTCAGGTCCAAGATCTGTAAATTAATCCCCAAAGCAATTTCCTTTAAAATCACATCTTGTTATATGAGAATTTGACTCAGTTTCTGTATATGAAACTACACTGCATATACTGTTCTTGTGGCTAGGAATCATTTAATTTTGGTTTCTTTGATTAATTCACATATTTATCTGTTTGCTTCAGAATGCAGAATATTGCAGAAAGCATCTCCCCTGCTTTGACTGCAGAATGTCCTTGACTACCACAGTTTCAGATTTGCATCCACTCCACATCATTATTTTTGTCAGGGTCACTATGGATGCTCATGAACGCAGAACATCTACCATCTACTACAGAATGATATACTGCATTTACATATACATAAACTCAGTTTGACTAAAGTTCAACCTGCCATTGAAATACAGTCCCTCAGAAAGAAATTTTATTATGTTCGAAAAATGTAACCCCCCCCCCAACCCTCTGGTAACTTTCTGTGTTTGAATTATATGTGCTGTTTCTGCGCATGCAACCTTAACCATCACCACTAAGTGTCTAATCCCAACCCTCACGCTAACTTAAACCCAGTTCTATCCTAAACCCCTGAAACATCTTAACTTTCAAACCGCACACACACAAACACACAGGTCATTACCATCTGACGGAGACACTAAGTGAGTTGACCCTACCGACTCCACATGTAGCGCACTGCTCATCAGTGTTCCCAATCAGGGCTTCTGATATTCACCAGTATTGATTGAGGTGCTGGGGTTTGTGGAAGGTGCAGTGTTTATTGATTGTGGTGCTGGGCTTGGGTTAAGGGTAAGGTCAGTCTTTTCAATCACTTCTGAGGATTTCTTCCAGTCTTGTGGAAGAAACACAACCCTCCCCAATCAATAGCTCATTAGTGTGCTCCTTCACTCAGCACTAGGAGCTAAAAAAACAAAAAACAAAGGTCATTTTCTACGAAAGAATCAGCCTCCTAATGAGCTTTACACTGCTGTACACTGGTGTGTGTTCTGAACACCCGATTTGTAAACATATAAAATGCTCTTGTTGTTTTTGTTTGTGTTTTGTCTAAATAGCTCTTTCTTTTTTGTCTAAAACCAAAATATACATATACTGTATACATATATGTAATGACCACAAAATCTGCAACTAATATCACAGCATAATAGTTCCACAGAAAAAAAAACCTTCTACTCGTAGTATGTATTTTTGCTCCACCTGGTTTGTTGCTGTTTTGTTGCCATTTCCTTTATTTCTCACTATGTCTTTCCAATCATCCTGTATCATCACATGCGGCAGATTTACATCCGGTTGTAGTGGTCTGGTTGTACAGAATGGCACCAAGTGTACATATAGACACCTGACTTCTAATGTAGCCTTGTTTTTCTTGTTCTTTTTCTTCTGTCTTGCAGAAGAATCTTAAATATTCTTGATCATCACCATGTGATTACATGGACAGCAGGAAGAAATCAATTTTATTAAACCACAGGCTGTTTGTCTTACTAATTTATTCTCTCCTGTAAATTGTTAATTATTTTTGAAAGGGGCACATTACCTACTTTCTGAGTAGGGGTGCAACAAGATCTGGTGCCACGAGATCTCACAATGTTAAAATGTGACGATATTTGTCGTAGAGACAAAAGCTGTCTCACGATATCAGTACACACTGTAACAGAACCAGAGCAGCAGCCAGTATGACGTATTGTGATGATGCGTTCACATTTATCCTGCAAAAATGCAACTCCCTGCTGTGTTTTAATGCACAGGGCTGTGTTGGTTGGGGGGTGAGGGGTTGCAGGGGGAGTGTTGTAGGCATGATATGGTCATGTTGTGATGAGTTGATATGAGCGGCTTCATTCACATTTCCAGCCTGAGAGTTTCTGTTGTGTTCTGGTTAGCCATGATGCTAACATAGCCTACTCTAGCTTAGCACTAATTCTAACACCAGTGTGTCAGCACTGACAGATAAAAACTGTGGCCCAGATTTCACAGTCAATAGCAGTGAATGCTCATGCTAACATGGGCGTCCACGTCCTGATCATCTCCCATACATGATTGGTCAATGCAGCATCACTGCCAGATGATGTCACCGTCCGGTTAGGGTGAAAATAGCATAGAAGGTCACACATGGCTTCAGTTAGAAGCTCATGCACAGTTTTAAGATCTGAAGAGACTCGTGTGAAATCCTACAGAAGAGAAGCTAGTCAGTTTGTGACAAACCTTTTTACAGTGCCTGCATATTGTTGTCTTTTACTGCATATGATAATTCATACTTAGAAAGGAGAACTGCAGTGATAGCCATTACAAGATAATTAGTTAAAACATTTCAAAGTTGAATTTTATGGCTTTCATTCGAATAAAAGGCAAATTTTTCAGTCATATATTTTGTCATTGAAGATTTCTTAAAAATAGTGTTAAAATATCATCTTGTCTTGTTCTTCTGGACCCAGTATTGTGTATCTCATCTTGTGAGCTAAGTGTATTGTCACACCCCTATTTCTGAGATACATTGTCTGACACTGAGAAATTCTTTAAACATAGAGCAATAAGACCAGTGATCCTCTTCCAGGACAAACTGTTCCATATTATATTAGCTTCTCTGGGGTACTGTATGCCATGGCCAGTGCGTTTCTATTATTCTGTTTTCTCCTTTCTGCTGTCAAGCACATTATTACACATGTAACCATCCTCACTTATAGGTATGTGTTCATTACTGCCTTTATCCAGATCATCACAAGTATCAGCATTTGCTGATAGTTATACTAGTGCACAGCAGAAAAATATTCACACGTCTTGTACAAGTGATAAATGTTTGAGTTTGAGCTTAGGCTGCTGGTTTGTTTGCACAGCTTCCTCAGGGAGAAAAGTTGCCTATAATTGTTCTCGTGGTGATCTAACTGGTTTGGTGGGAATGTGAATGATTCCAGCTTCAGTATTTGGCAATGAAACTTGAATTCCTCTGGGCCCAAACTAAGCACTTCAATGCACAATCACTGCCAGCTATATGAGCCTCAGGTAACAATTAGCAAAAGAAATTTTCTGTCAACCTGCCAATGCACACTTTGAGTGCACGAGGCACATTTAAAAATATATCACCCTATGTGCTAGAAATAATGCAGTTCAATCAGCAGAGTGCATTTCTTTTTACCCAGCAGACACACATGATGGAGGTCTCACTGCAAAAGCATGCATTTCACAAATTTTCCAGTCCAATCACATCCTAGATATTTTTAGACCCTCCCTCCTACTTGAATAATATGTGTCAGTGGTTCTCTAGGTTTCTGACACTACACTGTGAGCAGCAGTCTGTTTGTCCAAATCTGTTTGGGAGGTATCCTGGCTGCTTGCAGTAACAGTACACATTCACTTGGCTTAGTTCTGAAGCAGGGAGACCTTTGAATTCTCTTTGCGATTTGATCTTTGCAATTCACAGTCAGATGAATCTACCAGCTCCTGAAAAAGCTGCTTGCCTTACCAGATAACTTGTATGCTTTGATTCATTCCACCCCACAGCTGTAGTCTGTTCTAGTAGTTTTCTAAAGCTCTGGATTTATTACCTTTGACATCTTTGTTGAAGCCTATGTGACCTCTAACCATTTTTGATGTAATTTTGATGTAATTTTGTTCACACTGTGTAATGCTAATTAAAAATTAGTCAACAAACTTTAGGCATGAAAGTTTGCTCACATAATTGTTGAAGTTGAAGTCTTCCTCTTCCTCCCCCCTCAGCCTCGGTGATGGCAGTTCTACTCATACTTCACCTGCACACTAAAGGGTCATTTCTGATGAATTTCCATATCAAATGTTGCTTTTGTTCTTTCACTGACTATCCTCACTTTCATGCGACACATTTTTGAAAAGCACTTGTCAGGTTACAGCAGCCTGAAGAGCTTCAAAGAGGTCATGAGGTTTTATAGACAGTGGGGCCACACTTTTTGTCCCTCTTTTGATAAAAGGCACAGCAGTAGCTGAAAAATGAAGCAGTAAAACCCCTGTAATGGCCTGCAGCCAAAACTTCATGCTTGCTTTCTGTATACACTAGAGAGGGAATCACAAAAGCAAGCAGGAAGTAGAAAAGCAGACCAGCACTGCCCTCATGTGAAATCTCACTGTAAACCCTTTCCAATTGTGAAGCACACAGGCATTGTTCTTCTTTTATTGTTATTTAAGGCAAAATGAATCAGACAGAGAAGCAGTCATGCTGGTCCTCAGATTTATTTTATTCAAATTTACTTGATGTCACTTGCGGCAACATTCAGCAGTCATGTTGCTAGGAAGACTTTTACAAAATAAATCTGGTTTCAACATAGGTTTAGTTTAAAGGCAAGGAACGGTGAAACTAAGCAGGAAAAGATTTGACAGAACAATAAGAAAGGACAAGTCAGAAACCAATCCTGTTTAGCATGAACACACATTTATGATATTTGTATTTCTTCATTGATCAGATTTGGTGAGTGACTTGCTCTTCTTCCTAATATCAGAACTCAAATGCAGGGATGGAGACCATCAGCTGAAGGCAGTTTATCAGTGCACTACAGTACAAAACTATGTTGAGCTGACAAGATGTGGTACAGATTTTTCAAATAGTTTCCTTGCTTGGTTTCAGCATTTCTTGAAATCCTTTGTTTCCCCCCTTTTTTCATCCATTTTGAATGTCAGTGCAGAAAGAAACCATTTTTTTCCTTGCTCCCTGACCTAGCCCTTGTGTGTTCAAGGCCCTGTTTACCTTCAGAAACTCATGCTAAATGATGTTGAGGTACAGAGTCAGAAAAGCAGACAGTGCTCCTTGCAGCACAGATTAGGGTGATGTATTACAATCCAGTGAGTATTTCTTTTTTGGTCTAATATTTTAGGAATCACTGATTTTTTGAATATTCAGTTCTTTTGTTGAACATGCTTAATATTGCATAGCACCATGAAAGGGAACAGATGTAGATCAAATTCAGATGCTCCTGAAGGGGAGGAGGAATGGCTCTCCTTTTTAAATGTATTTTCTACTTGATGATGATGTGGTTGATTTGGTGATAACTTGACCACCACTGCCGCCATAACCGCCACTGCTGCCATAACCGCCACTGCCGCCATAACTAGAGCTGGCGCTGGAGTATACTGGAGCAGGAAGAACAAACAAACAAAAACAAAACAAAAAACAGGAAGTGTTATCACTTATCCATCCATGTCTCAGTGTGGCGCGTTGGTTTAGGTGTCACTAATGTATAAAATCTGAAACTTACCACCTCCAGTGGTCTGCTGCACATGGATGGTTGCGCTGCTGCCTCCACTGGCCAATCTAATGGTATAGTAATGAAGTGTTATTGCATAGATCAGCATGAAAGCTAATGCTGCAGCCTTAAAATAATTAAATGTTCAACTTTATCCCACCTGATCTCCTCTCCTTCCAGCAATTTCCTGTAGGTGGCGATTTCAATGTCCAGGGCCAGCTTAACGTTCATCAGCTCCTGGTACTCGCGCACCTGGCGGGCCATGTCCTGCTTGGCTCTCTGCAGAGCATCCTCCAGGTCCTTGATGCGCTGCTTGGCATCCTTCACTGCCAGCTCACCACGCTCCTCAGCCTCTGCGATCCGAGCCTCAAGGTTGGCTTTCTATGGAATATTAAATTACAAATGATTTACTGCACATCCTCTTATACAATTTAGTGTGTTAAAACCTGGGCACCAACCGTGAGAAATTAATGAAATATACCTGCGCCTTGACAGATTCAATCTCGTTCTGAAGACGGGCGATCATACGGTTCAGCTCAGCAATTTCAGCCTTGGTTGTGCGCAGGTCTTCACCGTACTGTCCAGCAGAGGTCTGCATCTCCTCATACTATTATGAAAATTACAGGAGTGTGTATCAAGACCATGATCCAGGAGGTTACAAGAGGTGTTGCAAGTGCATATAAAAGTCACAAGATAAACCTCAGTGGTGCTTTTTGCTCACCTTTTGTTTGTACCAATTTTCTGCTTCAGCCTTGGAGCGTTTGGCAATATCCTCATACTGAGCACGCACTTCAGCCACGACAGCATCCATGTTGAGGTTACGGCTGTTGTCCATCTCCACAATGACGGAGGTGTCCTTGATCTGGCTCTGCAGCTCATTAAGCTCCTGCAGAATCCAAAGTTGTTGTTAACATTTAACTTGATATCATTTTGGCTGATTTATATAATGTATGGATCATCAGCTTTAGGCTGAATTGGACATAGTACACACAGTTTCAAAGATGGCCCTGAGGAAGTTGATCTCATCCTGAAGTGCATCACGCTTGGCCTCCAGCTCCACCTTGTTCATGTAGGCAGCATCAACATCCTGGAAAGAAAATTATGTACAAACAAGAAAATGTTATAACTGCCCACATTAAACCCAGGGATAAAAAAAAAATAAAAAACTGAAGCCGCATCTTGATGAATTCACACCTTCTTCAGGAGCACAAACTCATTCTCTGCAGCTGCACGTTTGTTGATTTCATCTTCATACCTGGTGGGACACAAAGCAACACATTAGTACATCAATGTATGTTGTTGCTATTGACCATGCCATATAAACACTCACTTCTTCTTGAAGTCCTCGACCAGGCACTGCATGTTCTTTAGCTCTCCCTCCAGCTTGACCTTCTCATTGCCCAGTCCATCATGCTGTCTGCGGAGGTTGCTGATATAGGCCTCGAACATGCCATTAATATTGGAGTGGGTGGTGGTCTGGTCCTGCAGAAGGTGCCATTTGGTCTCCAGCATCTTGTTCTGCTGCTCCAGGTAACGCACCTGTTGATATACAAAATCAGAAGAGGTAGTGAGATGTTTACTGCATTTTTTATATTGAATGGGATATAACTGGGGATTGTGGTTTGGATGGTGCCTTAATTGCCAGTGACTCTTCTCCAAACTGTTTTTAGGCTCTATTGTAATATAATAGAATATTGTAATATTCGTATCATTTTTAAAGTGAGTATCAGCTCAAAACAGATTTTAAGGGTTGCGTCGTTTGTGGTATCAGGTTTAAAAAAGGCTTCACTTTTACCTGCATGACTGAATACAGTAGATAGCTGCATGTCTGAAGTGCCACACCCTAGTCACAACAACTGTAACTCGTGATGGCATATTCCTGTGCCCACTGGTCAAGCGGGTGTAAAAAGAAACTTTTCAGCCTTTTAAAGCTAATAAAATACATATCTTTAAATTTTCATTCTTAATACATTATGTTCTATCCAGATATTTCACCAATATGTGTATGTGCCTTTAAGTGTTTCATCCCATTGTATCTCCTGTTTGGCTATGACTCATCCTGCATGCTCTGCTGAGCTGTGAAGGCCACACAGTCACTCCTGCCATAAAAAACTAGGTGTGTCAGTTAAACCCCAGAAGACAAAGCAACGCTGTATCATGAGATGAGTGCTTTGTTTTGTGAGTTTTTGTATGACTGCCAATTTTTTGTTTGAGAGTTTCACTGTACAAAAATGAAGTCACCATATAACTTACATACAATGCAGACTGTGCGTCTTTAACATCAAAAATAAGTGAAAGTTCATTTGCAGGTCTGTACATAGTTTTCTTGTTGCCCATAGCAACCAGGTGATAGGTGCACCGTGTAAATGACAGACTTTGGACTGTGTGGGCACAGTGCACGTACATAGATCCCTACTCTCTCCACCAGTCTACCAGGTGAGGGATGGGTGAGTCTGCAATATAATCTCCACCCATTTGTAGACAGAGGCCTCCACAGGCTCAGATAGGGCTGCCAAATGTTACTGTAGGCAAATTTTAGATGTAGTTGCCAGTGTAAGATGGGTTCAGGACAGACATTGAGATTTTTATAAGTTTGCCTAATCCCAAGCCTGCAACCCATTGTTGGATACACAGTATGGAGAGAAGATGTACAGATCCTTTGCTTTGCCAGTAAAAACAACTCATTTGTATCCAGTGAACAGTGCCCAGGAGTTTCATTAAAACTGCCATTTTGCTGTTACTATGCTAGATACTAGCATAGTAACAGCCCACACAGTCCAAAGTCTGTCATTTACACGGTGCACCTATCACCTGGTTGCTATGGGCAACAAGAAAACTATGTACAGACCTGCAAATGAACTTTCACTTATTTTTGATGCTATAACTTTCTAGTCATTTCTTTTCTATAACACTTAAAAGAAGGGAAATAATTCAGTCTTGACAGCCACTGGAAGTAAATTAAGCATGAAGGTTGTCAGTAATGATAATGAGGCCTATAGTAAATTGTACATAAGACATGCATAAGTCACACAGAGCTCACAGGAACCAACCTTGTCAATGAAAGAGGCGAAGCGGTTGTTGAGGGTCTTGATCTGGTCCTTCTCCTGGGTGCGGACAATGTGAATGTTGGGGTCAATATCCACGTTCATAGGGGTCAGCAGGGTTTGGTTGACTTGAACGGCTGTGATCGGAGACACAAAACCGCCTCCAGAACCATAACCAAAACCACTTCCACCCATTGAAGCGGAACTAAAACCACCACCACCACCATAACCAGAACCAGCACCAGCACCAAAACCAGAACCAACGCCATAGGTGGTGGTTCTTTTGATGGAGTAGGAGCTGCCTGGTCCTGCACTGGACCTCCTGGTGCTACTACCGTAGCTGTGGAGTGAACCTCCCCTCCTCATTTTTGCAGTGGCAAAAGTTGTCAACTTTCTGAGCAGAGGAGAACTGAAGATGAGCAGGCTTCAAAAGGAGAGCCAAGTCCCTCTGAGTGTAGGACTGCAAACACCGCCTGCTTTTATGGCTGTGCTGAGCCAGTGGGAGGATCCTCCTGAGCTACTCCAACCTGTACTCTCACTTTTGCCATCCGGCCTCCCCTCCGCCTTGGCCTACATGCTTCTGGCTCTGAATGACAGCAGTGACCAATCCTGTAAAACAGGTACTGTATGGAAGGATTGATAAAAGATAAGCTGTGACACACCCTGCAGAGGAAGGGACAAAGAGGTACATAAAAAAGTAGAGTGAAAATGTGATTATGTAAGGAAAATCAGCTTCTTTAAGTCTGTTTATTTATTTATTTTTTTATAATTTGACTTTATTTCATATATCCATTATAGTAAAAGATACAATCATAAATCTGTAAAATATTGCAAGTCACTTAAAATACATAAATTCAAACAATGCCAACAAATAAGCACACAAACATATGAACTGGAGTAAAACTCATCTCCCACTCTCAAAAGGCACAAATACACTCCTGCACCCCAGTAAACTAATCTTTTATCATGTGTATAACTTTTACAGGATTAACCAGTGCATTATTTATTCTACTTTATAAAGTCTGCACAAACATTTATACACACAAATCAAACTGATGACATTTTTAATTAAATAGTATTTTACTTGACTATTTCCATGTTCCACATTAATACATTGTACTTTTCCTCCTCTATATTTCATATTTCATATTCACTGTTTACTCAACTACATTTATTTAACAGCTACAGTTACTTTTAAGATGGATTTTTCTTTGTCCGTATAGCTATCAAATATTGCTCAACCATTAAAGCTAAGCAGTTAAATCTGCCAGACCCATATTTATAAGTATAAGATATAAATATTGATATTGGTATCAAGCTCAAACATTAAGTTTTATTTGGGCTATAATACTTATTAGCCACCACATGCAAAGCTTTTGCGTCTGCTTCACCATCTACAACAGCAGACAGAAGTGTGTGACTGTGATATATTTGGAGTAACTATTGTCAGTGGCATCAAAGTAGCACATCTGTTTTCAACATGTATCATTCAGTACTCTCAGAAATGAATCCTGCTAAGTTAAGTTAAATTAATCCTGTTAAGTTTAGGTAATGGAAATGACTTTGTTTAAAAAAAAAAAAAAGCTCTCCTAGTTCAAAGACAACAGATTCAGACACTCACAGCATCTTCCCATCGTTTATTGTCTACCCTTAACAAAGCATCCATTTTAACCCAAACCATGATCTTTCCCAAAACCTTACCAAGTCATTTTCATTTTTAAAACAAACCATTGCCGTTCCATAACCTGCACCACGTGTTTTTTTTGTTGTAACCATGATGATGAAGGTCCTGTATGCCTGCCACCAGCATGCTCCTATGGGCTGTATCGGGGGTGGGGATAAACAACCTACTGTATCTACCTAGAGCTGTTTAGGCTGGAGGACTTGTTGTGCTACTCAATTGGCTCGCTGGTCCAGCCACAACACAGATAAAGTGGAGATCAAAATTTAAAAACTGGAAAGATCATAACTGCAGTACTAACCCAAAATGAACTTGCACTCGAATGTGGATTTATTTAGGTGCCCGACTCTCACTTCTCTTGAATACTGAACTGAAACCTGGACATGTTAGGTCAAATGCATCAGCCATTTAATCTAGTCAACAAATGTCAGGCAAGCAGAGATTTAAGAGCTAATCTACTAGCATAAAGTATTATTAAAGTTTATTCAGCGAAACGCCTTAGGCAGACTTATGTCTCATTAGTCTTGTTAAAACAGCAGATAAAAATGTCTTTGATCCTACCAGAAAGTTGCCACAGCAAATTATGTGCTTCCAGTATGATACATTTTGTTTTGTTTTGCCACTCACTTGATACATTTTACCACACCCAGTTGTTCCATTCTCAAACACTACTGCACTAGTTTCATCCCTCTGCACCGTCGCTGTAGGTGAGGCCTGCATTCTTTTTCATTCTTCCCCAACTTTTCACATATACATGCCTTTCATTTCTACCATGGTGTGAAACTTTACTCCAAAGCTCAAATCTCTGCTGTCTATCAGCTATTTGGAGACAAGACATTATGTGGACTAGTTTTGCTTCTTACTAAGTTATAAAGGTTGCACTGCACTCAATAAGAATTGTGTGACCTTTGAATTATGAATAAGAATTATGTATCTCTCTCACTGCTATTTCATCCTGTGCCATATTTTAATACAAATACTCCGTATGGATACTTGTGAGCCACCTGATGCTGATAAACTGCATGGTCAGGGTGAGGCTTTTGTCACCATGAACAGTCACATTAATGTGATACTGAATAAACCAGAAGAAAGGTCACAGTTGTTGTGAGCTTTGTGCTTGTTTGAAATGTCATCGGTCATGGCTGTCATATAAAGTGAGGACTCAAGCCTGATCAAGTCTGGATGGTCTGAGGCCACTCATCATGCAAAACGTCATACTGTACACCAGGTTAAAGTTTGATTTACCAGATGTGTGAGATGCTTTTGTACAGATTAATGAAACTTAAACCAAACTGTGGATATGCCTGTCAGGAGGTGGGGCTGGGTGAGGGTGATTAGTTCATGCAGTATGCAACAATGCTGTGCCTATCTGTTAACGTGTTTGAATTATTTCTGTGAATCAGATTAAAGTCTAGGAAAAAGTCTTGTCATAGGACAAAGAAAACCTGGACATATATTTCATATACATATCTTTCTTCCTCTATCTCCTTTGTAATTTATATGTACACTTATTTGGCTGGCAACTTAACCTTTGATTCTTACTGAGGGTGAAGGTAAAGTAATTGCCCAGTAATAAATCCTGCTTTTCCTTGCTGGACCCTGCCAACACGCTGCAGTTTGATGACTTTAAGATCATTTATCAGCAGCACGCAAATATTTAATATCACCCTTTCTTCCCCTGTTGGATTATGGTGATGTACTGTATATGAATGCCTCAGCTAGATGTCTCCATTCTTTAAATGTGGTTTACCACAGTGCCTTGAGGTTTGTGACGGGTTGTAGTCGACTAACGCACCATTGCGACCTGTATGCTAAAGCACAGTGGTCGTCTCTGAGCATGCGAAGACATGTTCATTGGATGGTGCTAGTGTACAAGGCTTTGGTAGGCCTAGCTCCGGCATACTTATGCTCTCTTTTACATAGATCGGATACCAAATATGCCTTACGGTCTTGTGATAAGTATCACCTCATGGTGCCAACAGTTCGGACCGAAAAAGGGAAACGGGCTTTTGGATTTGCCGCTCCCTCTTCGTGGAATAGTTTCCAAGCAGATTTTAAACTTACTGAATTATGCTCAGTTAAAGCTTTTTATTCTCTTATGGCTCTTAGGCAACAGGACTCTATTGGTCAGTGTATGTGTTTTTAAATTGGTTATATTGTTGATTATTGTATTTATGGTTTTGATTGTTTAAATGTTTAATGTTTTGATTTGTATTGAAACTTATGTATTGACGACATGTGTTGTTGACCTCTTGGCCAGGTCACCCTTGTAAAAGAGATCATGATCTCAATGGGTTTTTTACCTGGTTAAATAAAGGGAAAGAAAGAAAGAAAGAAAGAAAGCCTGGAAGTAACAAATGCATGGACCAGTTTTTCAGCATCACTTTGAGACAGGATGCTCCTGATTTTTGCAATATTGCGTAGGTGAAAGAAGGCAGATCTAGAGACTTGGTTTATGTGTGATTTAAAGGACATATTCTGATCAAAGATGACTCCAAGGTTCCTCACAGTAGTACTGGAGGCAAGAGCTATGTCATCTAAAGTAACTATATGATTAGACAGCATATTTCTAAGGTTTTCAGGCCCAAGCACAATAACTTCAGTTTTGTCAGAGTTTAGAAGTAAGAAGTTGCAGGTCATCCAGGCCTTTATGTCTTTAAGACATGCTTGAAGTTTGACCAGTTGACCTGATTCATTTGGCTTCATAGATAAATATAACTGAGTATCATCTGCATAGCAATGGAAATTTATGTTGTGCTTCCTGATAATATTGCCTAAAGGGAGCATGTATAAAGTGAAGAGAATTGGACCTAACACAGAGCCCTGTGGAACGCCGTGACTAACTTCAGTTTGTGTGGAACATTCGTCATTAACATGAACAAATTGAAATCTTTCTGATAAATAAGATTTGAACCAACTTAGCGCAGTTCCTTTAATCCCAATAACATGTTCAAGTCTCTCCCACCAGGAGGAGGCCCCGGGGAAGACCCAGGACACGCTGGAGGGACTATGTCTCTCGGCTGGCCTGGGAACGCCTCAGCATTCCCCCAGAGGAGCTGGAGGAAGTGTCTGGAGAGAGGGAAGTCTGGGCATCTTTGCTTAGACTGCTGCCCCCGCGACCCGGTCCCGGATAAGCGGAAGAAAATGGATGGATGGATGGATGGATTTGTATTGAAACTTATGTATTGACGACATGTGTTGTTGACCTCTTGGCCAGGTCACCCTTGTAAAAGAGATCGGGATCTCAATGGGTTTTTTACCTGGTTAAATAAAGAGAATAGTCTTCAAGCCCTGAATTAACACTTATATCAAGTGGACAATCTTTCAGAGTGCCAATAAGAGGAAAGTCAATAAAAGTGTTGCCACCTTTTATTCCCCAGTTGTTGCCCTCACGCTGCTTCTGTGCACACTCCTCATACCTACCGTAATTTACATCCTCTGTGAAGTAACAACATTGGTAACACTTTATTTTACAGGTTTGTAAACTCCAGTTGATTTCTAAATAATTTCTCAAGATGTTTCCTGGAAGGAACCATATAATTTGGTAATAATTACAGGTAGAATTAGAGAGTGATCAGTTGGTACAGTTCCAGTTGTTTTTCAGTGCTAAGCTACCAAACTTGAGAGGACAGAAGGTGAACTCTGCATGCATGTTAAATCTGTCTACAAAGAACCATCCAATTCAGTATAAATGAAGAATACCATTTCAATTAATTAATAAACAATAAATATTAGCTGGGGTTTACATTGACCA